TGGCGGCGCTCCCGCCGAGGGTTCGGATCCCACATACAGACCGGTTCCCGCTCACTGGCTGAGCGAGGTGTGGGAGCAACACTGAGGGTTGCGATCCCGTTGCCGGTCCCGGTCCGGTCCGGGCGCGACACTGAGGGTTGCGATCCGTTGCCGGACACGAAAAAAGACAAAAAAAAAGTAATACCAAGTTTTATCTGCTTTGTAATCTGCCTTGGGCCTAGTGGCTTTTAATTTTTTTTTTTTTTTACTGCAATCCAAAAGTCAGAAATAAACTTTTATATTAGTGGGTCACTGTATGTAAAAACTTTTATTTCAGTCATACAGACAAATCCAGTGTGGATTTGTAAAGTGGATAAATCCAGTGTGGATTTGTCTGTATGATTGAAATAAAAGTTTTACAAATTAATACTTATCTTTGATGTATAAAGTGCCCGGGCATCTTCTATCCTATTTCATTTTAAAAGAAAAATGCTGGTTGTAGCATGGGATACAACTGGCAGTTTGAATAACGCTGCATTGGGTGTTTTAGAAGATCACGGTGCCTTCCAGTCCATTTTAACTCATTCTGTAGCTTTTACTTCATGGTCCCTTTCCCATATTCTCTACCTATAGTACAGTAATTTATAGTTTTAAATATGTTCAGTAGATCCCTTTAAGGCAGAGGTGATACTGGTTAATTCCTGTCTTTGTCACCTTTGTTTTCAACTTTCTGTCCAATACCATTTAGTGTATTTTAGAGATCATGTGGATAGCCACTTGCCCCGGAGATGGTGATATAATTTTTAAACTAAGTTTCTCTTAGAGAAAGAAGATGTGGTGGGTGGGTAATCATTAAAGAGAGAAATCTGAGGATGAGGGCTTATAAAGCTTGTCTTTGTTTACTTATGGATAAGCAGAGTAATGCTTAAATATCTTGGCATCTTTTAATGACTTTTTGTTTTGAGCCAGTCAATCAAGCACTTCATTTCTAGTTTCTTTAGCTACAGAAAAGCATTATGAAACCAAGACTTTGATCTTGTCCGTATAATACTGTTTATAAATATTGCTTCAACTCGTAATTCTTCTGCTAAATTTTTTTTAAGTGCTCGAGTACACATTTATTCACAAGATTTAAAAATCAAGAAATTATGACAAGGTTCACAGTGTAAAGGCTATCTCTTGTCCCCATTGGCTCATTTTCCAACCTTCTTCCCTCCTCCAAAGGTAATAGCTCTGGCTAATGCCTTCTAAATCTTTCAAAGTTTTCCCATCCTAAGCAAATATACTCTTATTATGTATGTTCTTATTTCCTTCTACCTTGTTAGAAAAGGTTGTATACTACTCTCCCTTTCTGCCCCCTTGGATTTTATCATGGATCATCTGGGACAGATCTTCATTCTTTATTCTTCATTTACAGCTGCCTGGATCACATATGGTATTTTGCACATCTGTGAGTTTATCTTTAAAACAAAGTTCCAGCTATAGAATTTTTGGGCCAAAGGATATATGTGTTTGTAATTTTTAACAAATATTGGAAAACTGCCCCATACAAGTTTTGTACTAATTTATACATCTGCCTGTAATGTGTAAAAGTGCCTGTTATTCCCAGGCTCATCACCAATACAAACTATTAAACTTTTTTTGATCTCTGGATGTCACTATAGTGAGGATTGAAATGTAATTCTTCTACTGAACTTTGTTCATGTTTACTGCCATTCATAATACTCTTCAAAGTTGGCCTTTTCACAGTTATTCCCATGTCACTTTGGCTTTCAAGGTTTACGTTTTGTTTGCGGGGATAAGACATTAACTCGGTGTCCTTGTGATGATGTCTTTTCTATTTTTGAAGGCTTTGGCACATCTTCTTCACTTTCGGACCCAGCAGCTTCATCCTTCAAATTTGGTATCCCGTGTATCCCATCATCCTCGTCTGGGCCTTCTCAGACTTTAACAAACACTGGAAATTTTAAATATGGAGATCAGGGAGGATTCAAGATAGGTGTGTCATCTGATTCTGGGTCTATAAACCCCATGAGTGGAAGCTTTAAATTTTGTAAACCAATAGGAGAGTTTAAATTTGGAGTTTCATCTGATTTTAAACCTGAAGAAGTTAAAAAAGACAGTAAGAATGAAAATAATTTTAAGTTTGGACTTTCTTCTGGTGTAAGCAACCCAACTTCTTTACCTCCATTTCAATTTGGGATGTCTAATCTTGGGCAGCAAGAAAAGAAAGAGGAACTACCTAAATCTTCATCTTCAGGCTTTAGCTTTGGTACAGGTATTACTAACTCTACCCCTGCTGCTACTAATACCATAGTGACCTCTGAGAATAAGAGTAGCTTCAACTTTGGAACCATAGAAACTAAGAGTATCTCAGTGGCTCCTTTCACATGTAAGACATTAGAAGCAAAAAAAGAAGAAATGCCTGCCACCAAAGGAGGGTTCACTTTTGGCAATGTGGAACCTCCGTCTCTGCCATCTGCCTCAATGTTTGCTTTGGGAAGGACAGAAGAAAAACAGCAAGAACCTGTCACTTCTACTTCTGTAGTTTTTGGGAAGAAAGCTGACAATGAAGAGCCAAAGTGTCAACCAGTGTTTTCCTTTGGGAATTCAGAGCAAACCAAAGATGAGAGTTCTTCAAAGTCAACGTTTAGTTTCAGTATGGCAAAACCATCTGAGAAGGAATCTGAACAGCCAGCAAAGCCCACTTTTGCTTTTGGAGCTCAAACCAATACTACAGCTGGTAAGTATTAAAAATTTTTTTGCAAGGTGTCTGATTTCTCGACAAATTCAACAAGTCAGGGTATGGTTTATACTGATCACAGTTGAGAGAGTACCAGTAACAGAACTTTTTGGAACATAGACGACAGGTATAATTAACCCCTGAATTTTGAAAACTAAAATCCTGAATTAAAAATGAAATAGCATCCTTAAAAGTTAAAAACATGATTGGTGAAATAAAGTCATTCTGTGGGCTGAGTAGCAGGTAGAACATAGCTGATAATTAGTGAATTGGAATTTCTCAGTACAGAGACTGTTCCAATTAGATCCACAAATTCCATTGGAATAGGAGTGTTGAAAAGATGAGAACAGTGTGGAGGAAATAAATATCAAAGAAGTGACAGAAGAGAATTTTCTAGATGTAAAGAAAAACATGGTCTTAAAAATGGAAATGACCCACTCATTGACAAAAATCAGTGAAATTTTAGGACATCAAAACCAAAAACCCTGAGTGCGTCCCTAGAAAAGCTGTTTGCCACAAATAAACAGATGTCCGATTGGTATCAGACTTATACTTGCAGCATCAAGTGCTAAAAACAGTAGAGCAGTGCCCTTAAAGTGAAAATGGTCTTGAACCCAAGATTCTGTAACTAGCCAAATTTGTTCAGACATAATGGCAAAAGATAGACGTGCAGAGAATCAAAAGTCGAACACCCATGAACACTTTTGAATAACCTCAAAAAAGAAAAAGTATGAAATTCACCAAATATCGATTGGTATCAGACTTATACTTGCAGCATCAAGTGCTAAAAACAGTAGAGCAGTGCCCTTAAAGTGAAAATGGTCTTGAACCCAAAATTCTGTAACTAGCCAAATTTGTTCAGACATAATGGCAAAAGATAGACGTGCAGAGAATCAAAAGTTGAACACCCATGAACACTTTTGAATAACCTCAAAAAAGAAAAAGTATGAAATTCACCAAATATCTGTGAGCAGTTTTTTTTATCTATTAAATATTTCCTTGAAAATTTATATCCTACAAAGAAAAAAAAAATACCTGCAAAGAAAATCAAAACTCAAATTACATATCATTTGGAAAGGAACAAAAATGAGATAGGATCTTATCAGATTTGATTAGGAAATTTCTACACTGTGGTAGACACTCTCTTAATCTACCTCCCATTAGCCAACTTGAAAGTGAGCCAACATGCTCCATTTTCCTGTAAATCATACTCATGCTCATAGCATACTGTGACTAGCTCTGTCTAGTGTGCAGTATTGGAATGGAGATATTATTGGAACAGTTTTAAAAAAACATCTTCAGTAAGATGGCTGGATTCAGTATCACTGTATAAAAATCAAAAGCTTTCCTCCAGATTAGCAATAAATAGTTGGATGATATATCTCATTTGTGTTTTCTAACATTTCTAATTTGTATTTTATAACAGCAACAGAACTTGTAACGTGATGAATAATTAAAAGAATATAAAAGATATACTTGTTCCTGAGTGAGAATATCTCTCCCCTCCTCACACCGAATAATTTCAGTTCTTAGAACAATTTTTGTGGAGCTTGACAAGCTAAGCTGGTTCTAAAAATATACAAGAAAATTTGGGGAGAAGGGAGGGCACACAGGCAGGTTTGCCCTACTAGTATTAAGCCCTATAAAGTTACAATAATTAAAACAGTCTAGTAACAATAATAGTAGAGGAAACAAGTGTGTGTGTTAGGAAATTTAGTGTGTCCTAGCAAATGAGTGTGCAGAGGATGCAGTAGTCAGTGCTGTGGCAAAAATTGGCTATCCGTTTGAATAAATTGAAGTTATGATCCTGCTACATACTGAAATGAATTGCAAAATTAAATATATAGCAGTACATCTATCTTCCACTATTTGAACTTGTTATCTAACACAGTGTCCAGTTGGATTTGGGTTTGAGGAACACTTTTATTTTCATTAATCAGAGTGCTGAAGGCCTTCCTATGAAAGACAGAAAATCTGTAAGTCATAAAAGATGGGTATGTTTGACTGTGTCAAAATTTAGTATTAACAGATGTCCGTTCAATAAAAGATTCTATATAAATCATTTAATATTCTGTTTTCTAATGGGTTCTTAGATTGTAGGGTGTAGGAAAAAAGTGCTTTCTGAGGTGATTTGTTCTTATGGATTTATGTTTGTTTCTTAATTTTTCTTACAGATCAAGGCACAACAAAGCCAGTTTTTAGTTTCTTGAACAATTCCTCTAGTTCAAGTACACCAGCCACTTTGGCTGGTGGTGGCATATTTGGTAGTTCCACCTCTTCTTCCAATCCACCTGTGGCTGCCTTTGTGTTTGGACAGGCCAGCAATCCTGTGAGCAACTCTGCCTTTGGTAACTCTGCTGAATCCAGCACAACTCAGTCTTTGTTATTTTCTCAAGACAGCAAACCAGCAACCACATCCAGCACAGCTACAGCTGTCACCCCATTTGTCTTTGGTCCAGGAGCCAGCAGTAATAACACTGCAACCTCTGGTTTCAGCTTTGGAGCTACAACCACATCTAGCTCTGCAGGTACATTTACAAAAAAATATGTACATTGTAGTTAGATTGGCTTTAATGATAATTATATATTGATTCTTAGAAATAATGTAGCAGGTTATCACAAAATGGCATAAATATCCTCAGGTCATCTATAGCAGGGATGTTAAAATTTTACTGTGTACATTTCATGTTCAAGTTTAATATATTTAACTCTTAGGGAGCAATTTTTCTAATCTTGCTAAGTGTGTAACATTTATTGTTTTTTGGTTTTTTTAAAACTAAGTTTAAAACCAGACACAGGAGGTTGTTTTCTTAAGACATCAGTGTTCATTTTGCGGTATATATACATGTATACGACATTAGGCAATTTCTGCACATATTACATTTATGGTGGAAGATCATTGTCTTAGATATATGCCTTTACCAAAAATTGTTAGCTGCAAAGGTGGGGAGTCATGCTAATTGAAGTTTTTGTTTATGTGGATTCTGTATGTTTTACTGAAATAATGGTACAGAGAGTCATATTCTTAATTACCATTCAAAATTTGTCTTGATAGGAATTTGGTTAGCAAAAGAAGAGTCTGACAGGAAGTTTAAGATTTACTTCTAGGTTTACAGAAATTTCTTAAGGATTATCTCACTGTAACCATCATGATGACTGGTGTTTTTTTCGACCTCCAGGATCCTCCTTTGTATTTGGCACTGGACCTTCAGCACCATCTGCCAGTCCAGCATTTGGTGCTAACCAAACCCCAACATTTGGACAAAGTCAAGGTGCCAGCCAGCCTAATCCCCCAGGCTTTGGATCTATGTCATCTTCAACAGCATTATTTTCTGCTGGTTCTCAACCTGCACCACCTACTTTTGGGACAGTGTCAAGCAGTAATCAGCCTCCAGTATTTGGTCAGCAGCCTAATCAGTCTGCATTTGGCTCTGGAACAGCTCCTAATTCCAGTAAGTGTGTACAGTGATGTACTTTGTGTCTGTACTTAAGTTCTGTGTGTCTTAAAAATATTTTTCCTTGAACTTTGAAACCATGCATATGTTTGTTTTCTTAATAGTCTCTTGTACTTGGCAGAATAGAGAGGTATATGCTTAGATTTATCTATAAACATCCCAGCTTCATGCAATTACAGTATTATTTACAGTATATTTTAAATTATTTCTTTTTTTTGTTGTTGTTGTTGTCTTTTATCTTTTTTCCGTGTCCGGCAACGGATCGCAACCCTCAGTGTTGCCCCTGCATATTTCTTTTTTTTGTTGTTGTTGTTGTCTTTTATCTTTTTTCCGTGTCCGGCAACGGATCGCAACCCTCAGTGTTGCCCCTGCACCGGACCGGGGACCGGCAACGGGATCGCAACCCTCGGTGTTGCTCCCGCGCCTCGCTCAGCCAGTGAGCGGGAACCGGTCCGTATGTGGGATCCGAACCCTCGGGCGGGAGCGCCGCGCTTCCCAAGCGGCGCACTATCCAGTGCACCACCGGGCTGGCCCCTAAATTATTTCTTACTGTTTGGCTTAGGTATGGAATTCATTCAGTCCCATTTCTCCTCCAGTCTGAATTTTGGGGCTTTCTAGCCTGGACTTGAACTATATTTTCTGATCCTCTTTATGATTGTATTTACTTCAGGGAGTTAAAAACCCAGTTCCAGTACTCTTTCCTGGGACAGTTCACCTGAATTGTCTAATGACACTTTCTATTTGGTAATGATACTAGTCTTTCCACTTGACTTGCATATTTAAACAAAAGTCCCATGACTTTTTTTTTTTTTTCGCAGCTGGCAGGTTTGGGGATCTGGACCCATGACCTTGGTGTTATAAGGCTGCTCTCTAACCAACTGAGCTAACTGGCCAGCCCCCCTTGACTTTTTTAATATGACAAATCAGGACTGGCCAGTTAGCTCAGTTGGTTAGAGAGCAGCCTTATAACACCAAGGTCATGGGTCCAGATCCCCAAACTGGCCAGCCACAAAAAAAACCAAAACAAAACAAATTATGCTACATTGTAATGATATATTTCCTCAAAATTGCACTGTTTGACATTTTTCTAGTTGTGAAATATAACCTCATATAGAAAACTGCATAATGGGCCGGCCTGTGGCTCACTCGGGAGAGTGCGGTGCTGATAACACCAAGGCCACGGGTTCGGATCCCATATAGGGATGGCCGGTTGCTCACTGGGTGGGCGTGGTGCTGAC